TTTCCTCCCCACTTCCTCAAACCCACCAGAACTGAATGAAGCCTGTATCCACTGTTGTATTTGAGCAAGTTTGTTACCCTAGCCACAGCCTGGGGATTCCAAAAGAAAGCATCCATTGTAAATTAAGAAGGAGGAGGAAAAAAAAGATTGTACCAGATTTTCTACAAGGTTTATTCCATAATGCCTTAAAGTATGAACACAGCCGAGCTCTGCGGAAAGTGATTAATTTCTTGAAAACACTAAGGTCACACTAATTGACATGACCTGTGTAATTAAGTAGTCTCTGTTTACACACCAGAAGCTCAGCCGCTGTGAGGCTGAGTTTGCTTGACAGAATATCTTTACATGTCAAGAGATCAACAACCCTTCTTATGTCCTCCTCAGTCACCTACACAGGCCCCTGATTGCTGTTCAGAGGAGACCCGCTCTGGCGTGGCTGTATGAAGATCAGGCTGGCCTGGTGAGCATACAAAATGAGATGAGAGAAAGGTAGCAGCCACAATTGTTGTAGAGAGCCCACTTAATAGTCAGGGGAGCACGTTTTCGATCAGATGACTCTAGGTCTTAGGTTTTCAATATAACTGAGAAAAGCCACATTGAGATGTTAAGGGTAGACCAGAGTTTACTCATGCCAAAAAGACACTTTCTCATTCCTCCTTAAAGGCAACAGCAACATGAAACCTACTTCCTAATGGTCTACTATGGGAGAAATGATGGAAATTACATGTCTTCTTCACAGGCAACCTTCAACCAACGTCTCTATGACACATCGCTGTCAGACAGGGTAGCTCAGGGAAGACTAATCTTCACCCTCTTGGGTGAGTCCTAAGATTTGGGAACTTCAGTATGGTTTCTTTACAGAGTTCTCTGAGATGTCAGGGGCCACTTTACTCATGCTCCATCTAGGTGATGGGTCTTTCTTGCTCTGGAGAAGTGGCCCGAACCTCCATATGTTAAGGAAAACTAAAGCCCCCTTCTGAGTAATAGCTTCTTTTTCCAAGGTTCATACAAGTACAAACTGACCAACACTTTAGCTATGTTCAGAAACAATGCTTATGTTCTTCTTCTTCCACACAACTCCACTCTCTGCCTGATGAACTTTGGTGCATTCCAATATTCTTTATGCAGACAGTAGCTTTAGGCTTGTTATAGGGCAAACACCACTCCTTGGCTCTCCTGGGGTTCATGGGTAGCCACTCTGGCTCTCAGATGTTGAAAGACCTCCTTATTTTCTCTGCAAAAGTGTCTCCCTACAGATTCTGGACAGCTTCTTTACTGTTCCACATTAGATAACATCTGAGTCAGATGGTTGGGTTGAATCACTGTCTCTTCACTACCTAGTAGATGTGTGACTTTAAGCAAATTGTTTAACTCCTCTAAGCCTCAGTTCCTCAGGTGTAAAATTATATTTTACAAATATAATATTTGTACCTTCTTAACAGAGACATTGTGAAGATGAAATGATAGCTCATGTAAAATACTTAGCATGATACTTCTCACATAATAAGTACCTAGTAAGTGTTAGCTTTATCATTATCATCATCATGGTCGATGTCCATAGATGTATGTCAAGGTACACATATGGGCACATATATTTATACACACATATATGGAACACACTGAATGTAGACACAGATACAAACAATCATCTCCCCAGCACTTAATGTAATTAGAAATAAACCAAGATAGGGAACACAGGAAGAAAAGCCAGCTTGTGGTGGAAGCACAAAATAAGAAAAGAAAAGAAAGATGGTGACAATGGACGTTGGAGTTCACTGAGTTGAAGTTCCTGGAAGTTTCCAATAGGCAGCTGGACAGCTAGGTCTGGATCTGGATGTCAAGTCTCAGGGAACCTGACTCAAGAGTTCTGAGTGCCCAAACAGTGGTTAAGATGCTGAGAATGGAAAAGATACTCAAGAGAGCCCTACAAAGTGAGAAAATATCTGGATCTCAAAAGAAAACTTAAGGAATGGCAATATATACAGGAGAGCAAATAAGTAGCATCCCTTCAAGAAGGCTGAAGTGAATGTTGTTGTGGAATCCAAGAAAAAGATGAGTTCAAGAAGGATGGGATGGCTACCAGCATGAAATGATGCACAGAAATATAGGAGGACATAATAGTCATGAAAGAAACAAGACTGGGGAAAACATAGAGTTTGGTAGGGATATGTGAGGTGTTACTTTAACTCTATTGAGGCAATTCATCCATTCTCCAATTGCATAAACATCCACATGCTTACATGCATAAGACCATGTGCTAATTGTGGGAAAATGATAATTAATTAAATGTGTAAACACACTTAGATACAAAATAAAATGAGTCAATGTTCATTCTGCCATAGCTTCCCTCTATCCTCTCCCAGGAAGTAATGAGGGCGTGATGGGGACAAAGCAGGTTAAATCTGAGATGCAATAAGGAATTTGTCCTTGCTTATGGAAAGAGCTCTTCTTCAACTCAAAAATTAACTCTGTAGTGGCCAAGGTTGCTGTCCCTATTTAGAGAAGTCTACTTACTTTAGGATGGGTGGAGACTCACAGGGAAGAGCACATGTATTTGAAGGACAGTATGGACCTTGGGTTAGGCAGTTCTCATGCCTAATAGAAATGACATGCCTACGTTCTCATGCCACTGTCACCAGGAAGAGGCTGTCAGAAGTCATTGGGTATAAGACTGGACCAATGCCTCTCAAATATGGGCAATTTTGCATCCCCACCCCAACCAGGGAACATTACATATGTCTGGAGACATTTTGGGTTGTGATGACTAGGCTAGGGCCTGGGGGAGTTTCTCTCCTGGCCTCTATGGGTACAGGCCAGTGATGATCTGTTAAACGTCCTACAGTGTGTAGGACAAATCCACCCTCCCATACACAACAAAGGATTATCTAGTCTAAAATGTCACTTGTGCCTAGGATGAGAAACCCTGTATTGAAATAATGACCCAGTTTCAGTGTATCACAAGTACTTTCTCCAAAAGCAAATTAGTTACGCATACAAAATGTGTCATTTGTATGTTGGAAAACAAGCAGAATCATAATGTTTACTCAGTTTTAGAGCTGAGGAAACTGAGGCTTTCCAGAAATTCAATTCATAGGGCTCGTCTAGGTAGCCCTTCTACTAAATGAAGAATAACTATTTTATCTGTAAAAATAAAGCTTTCTAGATACTATCAAACATGACAGAATGAGTTGGTTTTTCATCTCCTATAAGAGCTACATTTCTATAATTTAAGGCTTTCAGACATTTCATTAGCAGGTCCTTTGAGGGAAAAACAAGGCCCCAGAAGTCTTATACAAATACTCTCTTAGGTTCCCCATGTCACCAAAGTCCACCTCTAACTCTACTGCCCTGAGAAGCAGAGCAAAGCTGATCCTGATATTCATAAGGCATGACAATGTCTATTAGACATGTTTATTACACATGAATTGGTTCATGCCTGGATATGCCTTATTCCTAACCCAAGCTTGGTTAAGGGAGATATACGGCTCATCTTAAGGCCAAAGCAAGTGCAAAACAGTTTATAATGAAACCCAACCTCATGTTGCAGGACACTGAGCAACTTAGTGGCATCACATGTGTTGTTTACCAGCAAAGCCAACTCCATCTCAACACACAAAAAAATCCTGTGTGGGAAGGAGAGTAGCCAAGTCTTCCAACTTGGGGTCAGCAGCTAGCCAGGAGAAACATTTTCCAGGAAACTAGGAATCCAGGGATTCTCATTACTCATCTCTGTCAGAACAAAAGGTGGCAAGGCCAAAATGATCTTACAAAAATACTTCAGGATCTTGAGAGAGAATGTCTTCTTTCTACTGAATTTGTTCTTCCGTGAGACCAATAAGTCTCACCTCTCAAAAAAATATCATCTTGGAGACAAAGAGATCTTGACATCTAAAAATCAGTGTTCAGAATCATCCCATCCCTTTCCCTTATCAGAGAATATGCAGCTAAAACTTTTCAAGATCCCCTCAGAGATCATACATTTCAATCTATACTTAAAGCTGACTAACTATACCTAAGAGTATACTTTAAACACCATGCTGTTTTCACTGAAAGACCATATGGGCAAATATATATATCATTACTCTGATAGGAAAACTAATGTTGACCATGCAAATGAGTTAGCCGTAAAATGAAATGGAAGGCAACACAAGTCTAAAACTTTGCTCTTCAAAGTGTGGTCTGTGGCATTGGCATCATTTGGGAGCTTGTTAAAAATGTAGAGTTTCAGGCCCACCTGAGACCTCAGTTAGCAGTTTAACAAGATCCCCAGGGAGTTCTTGACACTTTAGAGTTTGAGAAACACCAGTATCTAGAACTTACTGACCTTTCCTACAACCTGACTACCATTTTGTCTTCGAAATTAACACTTCGCTTTCATATCTTCTTCCGCCAGTAAATGTGTAATTATACGAAGTAAACACACCCCTCATGCTTTGAATGGTGGCAGATTTGACTGCTTGAGGACCTTCACACATGCTGTACAAGGATATTGCTGACACAGAACTGAGTGTCACCCGCATCACTCTCTAGATGTGTCCTACTGCATCAGGGGTCCATTTTTAATAGACAATTATTACTGACAATTTCCAAAATTGGAAGAGGAGAACAGAGAGAAAGGAAGGAAGAAGAGGACATAATTCTAAAACAGAACAAAGCTCTTATTTGACAGTTTTCTACTTGTAAAACTTTAGGAAGGATCCATTATTTCTATGTACTTTACTTAACCTACAGTGGTTTAAGCCTGTGAGTCTATTCAGGAAACCAGACTAGGCTCAAAGGACATCACTGCCTCAACCAGTGATGACAGGTGGTTCAGTCCTGGCTCTTCCCTAATAAAAACAACTCCTAGAGTGCAGAGACCTGGGGGACCGGGATCTTCACCTGCTCCTCACCTCTGGGGAAATAACTAGACTCTGTTATCTTCTTCTGCCTAAGACTTTTTTACCCTCTCTTGATATTCATGTCATTATTGAGATTTAAGAAAGACAAGACAAACCCACCTGGAATCTCCGCATGTCACGTGGGTTTCCTGCATTCTTTAGGCAATTTTGGTTACATTTGAGGAAAAATTTCAAGAAGAACCTGCAAAGAAACAAATTATCACGGTTAGCATTTCAGTCCTGACACAGAAAGGAAAAAAAAGTAGTAAGTCGTGTCTGGGTTGTGCATTCTATTCTCCACGTATTTTCTGAAATACCTAGGAAGGTGTTAGAGCCAATATGTTATTTAAAGCTTTAGCCTTTGTTTTGCATTTGAGCTGGACTTTCTCTATGAAGGAAACACTCTCAGTGCTGCCAACAGATCTCACAAAAGAATTAAGCCCCCAAGGAAGTATTTTTACTCAGAGGGAAGGTCTTCACCATAATTTAAGGTAGGCTCCAATTGGGTATAATTGCCTGAGAATTACTCATGGTTCCCAACAATATGTAATTTAAGTCCCATAAATTCACAGATGATGAACCAGCAAAATGCATGCTGGATGAATATAAGGAGATGGTAAACACTTTTTTATTTTAGTATCTCCAAATAAAATACCTTAATTAGTAGTACCCACAAGAAGTAGATAAGATTCACATACTGACTGAAGTCCTTTGACTTCTCAAATATTTCCTGTATGTTTTTCTTACGCTGCCTACTGTAGACAAAAGCTATTTGTGATTGAATAAGAACCTCACTGCCACCTTGGTCCCTGAATTGGTTCTAGAGTGAGATCCATGGGTTTTACTTGCTAGGGTGACCAAAAGTCCCAATTTGCCAGGAACAATCCCAGTTTATACCAGCTGTATTAGTGGAAGTATTAAGAGTACCCACTTTAATTCTCAAAAGTATCCCATCATGGATGATAAATTAGAGGGCCACCTTATAACTTTCTGAGTTATTTCTTTTTTTTAAGATTTATTTATTTATTTTGAGTGAGAGAGAGAGCTCACACGCGAGCTCACAGGTTGGGGGGAGGGGCAAAGGGAGAGAGAATCTCAAGCAGACTCCCCGCTGAGCATGGAGTCACGTGCAGGGCTCAATCTCAGGACCCTGAGATCATGACCTGAGCTGAAACCAAAAGACGCACTCTTAACCAACTGAGCCGCCCAGGCGCCCCCTGAATTATTTCTTATGTTGTAGTTGTTAAAGTCCATCACAGGAAAACAGCAGGTATCAAAGGTGTGCTATTAGGACATTCATATTGGCAATCTGCTTGTTCTCCACTGGCCCATGTTTGGGGAAAGAAGCATTTTAAAAACCACCCTGAGGGACGCCTGAATGGCTCAGTCGGTTAAGCATCTGCCTTCAGCTCAGGTCATGGTCCCAGGGTCCTGGGATCGAGCCCCACATCGGGCTCCCTGCTCAGCGGGGAATTCTGCCTCTCCCTCTCCATCTGCCTCTCCCCCTATTCATGCTCTCTCTTGCTTTCTCTCTCTCTCACTCTCAAATAAATAAATAAAATTTAAAAATAAATGAATAAAAACCACCCTGAGTTCTCCATTCCCTTTTACTTGTAGGCCTATAGCTATCAGGCCCGCATATTTTCCAAAAATATCAGAATGTATTAAAATGCTGGGCAGTTAAATTCTTTTTTTTTTTTAAGATTTTATTTATTTATTTGAGAGAGAGAATGAGATAGAGAGAGCATGAGAGGGGGGAGGGTCAGAGGGAGAAGCAGACTCCCTGCCAAGCAGGGAGCCCGATGCAGGACTCGATCCCGGGACTCCAGGATCATGACCTGAGCCTAAGGCAGTCGCTTAACCAACTGAGCCACCCAGGCGCCCTGGGCAGTTAAATTCTTGTAGGGACTTTCTTTTCTTCACCTTTCTCCCATTCAAGCCTGCACTGGAGTATAAAACTCCCACCTAGATACATATAACCTGTGAAGAACTATCACGCCGTGATGCCTCAGTCTGAATTTAGCTCTGAGCACAAAGTCTATTGAGCAAATAATACAGGGGTCTTCAGAAATGAGAACACAGTACAAAGTTGCACTGAGTTTAACCGGTTTCTGAATACTGAACTGAGAGAGATCCCAGAAGAATCTCTCTCCTCTCTGGTCCCTGTAAAGAGGAGAATGTAGTGTGGGAGTAATTCTGAAGAGAGACAGTAACTTTGTCAACCAAAAGAACATTTTAAAATGTAAACATCTTGGGGCACCTGGGTGGCTCAGTCGTTAAGCGTCTGCCTTCGGCCCAGGTCATGATCTCGGGGTCCTGGGATCGAGCTCCGCATCAGACGCCCTGCTCAGTGGGAAGTCTACTTGTCCCTCTCTGTCTTCCCCTGCTCATGCTTTCTCTCACTCTCTCTCTGCCCCTGCTCATGCTCTCTCTCACTCTCTCTGTCTGCCCCTGCTCATGCTCTCTCACCCTCTCTCTCTCTCTCAAATAAAATCCTTAAAAAAATAAGATGTAAACATTTTCCTAAAATGACTCTTTCAACATCATGCACCATTCAACCGCTCATCAATAAAAGCAGGCCTCTGGAAAATCATTTGCCCTTACTTCCAGGTTCTCTCCACAGAGGCCAAACTTTATCAACCTTTCGTACAAGGTAAATGACTCATGGAACACCGCTGAAGCCCAAATTTGTAAAATGGAATCTGGTCTGGCACCCCTTCCCCAGTAGGAAGAATAGCACTGTCCTTCCCTGGGGCCATCAGCTGGTCCTGACTCATGTCCCCTTTCAAAAAGGTAGACTTGGGAAGGGAAAGAGGTTGAGGGAGGAGTCCTTTCCTCTGAGCTCTCAGAAGGCCAGGGCTGGATGGCCCTGTGACCACACATGACTTTCAGAAGTTAAGGTGGTGAAACTCAAGGGCAGTGAGTCTGTCATCTTACTGGGGTTCAAGCCAAAGACACCTAAAATGTGAAAACTGGCTGCTTCTTTCAAGCACAGCTAGTTGGAAGGGCATTTTTAAAAACCACACCAAGCCCTGGGAGAGGACTCATTGCCACTAAAATGACAGTAAGAATCAGTGTGGTATGAAGGAAAAGCCTTTAGAAATACCCAGAATGGGGTTCATATCCCAACTTGGGCAGGTACCGCTTGTGTGATTTTGGATAAGTAGCTGAACTTCTCAGCACCACTTCTCTATAAACTTCTAGTGACAGTCCCTACCTTGTAGGTCAATCGCAAACACGAGCTGCGAGAACGCCTGGTACCTGGTAAGCTTGGAGATGGTGGCAGGAGTAATAATGGCTCCCCCGGTGTTACGTGCTTAACCAGTGCTCAGCACAGTGCTAAGAACTTCAAATGCATCTTCCCCATTTAACCCCCCTAAGTAACCTCTGGTAGTAAGCCCATTTTATGGATGAAGAAACTGAGGCTCAGAGAACTTAAAAAACTTGCCCAAAGGTTAGTAACTCTGAGTCTAGAACTCAAATTTGGCCAGAGCCTGTGCTTTTAACCATTATGCTACAGTTTTAGTAATAATAGAAGTAGTGCAATACTGATGTTAGTCCCAACTGTACCATCGGGAGTCATTGTACCACAACAGCATTTACACTAGTAAGTGTAAATAAGAGTAACCGTACAAATAAGAATAATTATCGGCATTATGATTTCCATACCAGCAGCGTAAATATCGTGGAGGGAGACGTCATGGCCATTCTCCCTCCAGTGGCCCCCACCCCCGGTTCCCCAGGGTTGATAATATTGCCGCCGGTGTGTGTTTAAGGCATTCGAGCCCCGACCCGACAGGCAGATTCAGGTTGTGTTAGAAGGAGCTGTCAGCACACCCTCTGGCATCTTCAAGTCAGACAACTGCTAGCCACCATGAGCGGAGCCATCTGGTGCCAAAATGGAAAGACAAGCAAACAGGACGCTAGCTCTGCCAGAGAGAAACAGAATCAAGGGAGTAGGGCATCTTCTGCCTTAACGATGAGCAGGGGCGAGGTGCCTGTCACCAGCCCATCGTTAGCACAAAAGCTATGCTGGGCACACACCAGATCCCTGTTACCCTAAGCTGCCCTGTCACTTGGCATGCTGGCAGAATCTCCTGCCCGCCCTCTCGACAGTGGATTGCTTGCTGAAATTGAAGCCTTGACCATCTGTCGCCGGGAAGAGACGGCATCCACGGGTGCCTGGGGCCTCACAGAAGCCCTTATGTGGCAAAGACGCTCTGAAGGACCCGTTCTTTTGGGGAAAGCCAGCCTTACCCCAGGGGGAGCCTCAGGAATTCTTTCAAAGTTTCCCCTCAGTAGATGCCAAATGCCTGACCCTTTCAGATCACACTTCCTTAAAGGAACTGAGAGGAGTTAGAAGTAGGAGTTAAAAATATCCCCACTGAGAGACAGAGTTAGACGTGGCACACACATTTTGGGGATGATTTATCGGGCTGTTTTTTAGGCATTTGTAAACGGGGGACACATGCATGCCTGCTGGCCTATGGAGAGGATCTCAGATTCCGAGGGGGGTTTTAACAAAGCGGAGGTTATTGTAACTCAAAACCTCACTTTTGTCTCATGAATTACCACATTTTGTGTGGCGGGTGTGTTTGATAAAGTGTTGTCAGGAAAAAGAGTGTGGCAGCCTTCTCCCAACCGTGGGAAACGGACTGGAGGCAGGACAAAGCCCCTATTGACCCTATAAAGTTCCAAGGAGTTCCAGAAACTCCAGGAAACAGCCCAACCAGAACCAAACTCCAGTCTTTTTGGGGGGTGGAAGGCGTGGGGCAAGAAACCCAACACCTTTCTGTTAACTCTCAATATGAATAATATCATCTTCTGTTCATACAGTGTATTACATGAATCAAAGCACTTCTATCTCTAGTATCTCACTAAACGTTCATGGAAGTCCTATAAATTAGGCATGCCAGGAATTATCAACCTATTTAAAAGGCAAGAAAACTAAGACTCAACAAAATTAAGATATTTATCTACAGTCAAAACTAAACTCATACCCTATATTGGTCAAAAGAGTCCTTACGGTATAAGTTTTTTTCCATGAATTACAGGACTTTATAAGTGATCTGAACCATCACTTAGTATAACTTTTTCACCATGCATATGAGAAAATTGAGATATCAGGAGACATGATAATAGCCACACAGTTATAACAGTTATGATAGCCAGAACTACAATCCACATGCCCTGACTTCTAGT